GACGGAGGTGGGGGGTGATCCTGCGAATGCCGGCGACGGCCGTGGCCGAGTCTGCCCACGACGGAGAGGCACGCGTGAGCTGCACTGCCGAGCGCCCTCTCTCTCTCTCTCTCTCTCTCTCTGCGAGGCGGGGCTTTATCCAGATCCACCGCCTGGGAAACCGACGCCCTGGCGCCCCACCGGGGGGGCGTCGGGTATGGACACATGCTCGCCCCCAGGGGCCTCGAATGTATCTATATCAACCGCCTGTCGAGGCCCCCGAAAACTGTTCCTCCAGGCGGTGGTCTCGCAGAAATGCTCTCTCTCTCTCTCTCTCTCTCTCCAGGGGATGGGCCGAAGCGCGCAGAGTCAACAGCCGGCTGCGGCGGCTGCGCGCCGCGGCGAGCAGCGCGGTGGCCCCGCGGCACCGCGTGGATCGCCCAGCAGGGAGCGATGTCGCGGCTCTCGCCTCGCGCGGGGCATCGTCCGACGTCGGCCGCCTCTCGGGGCCGCTGGCGGCGCTCCGTAGTTAGTCGGCCCGTACCAGAGGGATGCGCGAGAAGGATGCCAGGGGCCTTGGACGCCGAGTTCGAAGCTTCTCGAGCGGGGCGCGGCCAACGGAAGTGGCCACGGATGGACCGAGGAGGCAAGGATGCGAAGGCACCCTTGGGAAGGTCGCCAATTCCTTACTGTGCGGGTTGACTGTACCCGGGCATCCGAGGACTTGACTCTTCGTCAATGTGGGGCTCCCAGAACCCCGGAGCCTTTTCCAAAGGCCAGCTTTACCTCCCGAGCCGTTCTTTCTAGCTGTCCTGGGGCCCTGCGAAGGCCCCCAGGAGGCCGAGAACTCGGGGATCTTCTGACCCGGGTAAATCCGAGCCCGGGTCAGCCAGGCCTCGCAGAATCCTGCAGGATCCTGCGAGATCCTGCACCCAAACCTGGGCCAGCGCGAAGAATCCTGCAAGATCCTGCAGGATCCTTCGCCCAGACCCGGGTCGATGCGACCCTGGCCCTGCAGGATCCTGCAAGATCGGGCGCTCTGGCCGACCCCCCGTTGGCACTGGCCCCCGTCGCAAGTCGGCTGCACGTAAGAGTGACCCTGGGCAAGAGTGACCTTTGGTGCGCGGCTTTTCGGGGGGCGCGAGGCGGCCAAATACAAGCGCGCAAGACGCCACTGTCGCGCCGAGCACGGCGATCGGGGGACCCCCGTGAGTGCGCACCCAAAGGTCACTCCAGCGAAGGGTCACTCTTACGTGTAGTCGAGCAGGGCTCCCGAGGAACGGCCAACGGACACCTTCCGTCGCGCGGCCCGGGGGGCGCGGGGAGGGCCGCGAGAGAGGGGAGGAGGAGGAGGAGGAGGAGGAGGAGGAGGAGGAGGAGGAGGAGAGGGAGGAGGAGGAGGAGGAGGAGGAGGAGGAGGAGGATGGAGGAGGAGGAGAGGAGGAGGAGGAGGAGGAGGAGGAGGAGGAGGAGGAGGAGGAGGAGGAGGAGGAGGAGGAGGAGGAGGAGGAGGAGGAGGAGCGAGGAGGAGGAGGAGGAGGAGGAGGAGGAGGAGGAGGAGGAGGAGGAGGAGGGGGAGGAGGAGGAGGGGGAGGAGGAGGAGGAGGAGGAGGGAGGAGGAGGAGGAGGAGGAGGAGGAGGAGGAGGAGGAGGAGGAGGAGGAGGGCAGGCAGGCCTGCGCGCGTCGGGCCCTCGAGGCCCCCCGGCCTGCCTGTGAGCAGGAGGGGGCGGGCCTCCTCCGCGGAAGGCGGCGAGGGCGTCTCGGGAGGCCCCCCCTCCGAGGCGACCAGGAGCCCACCAAGACGGCCGAACATGGCCCTGAGATGGCCCAAGACGGCCCAAGAGGCCTCCAAGAGGGCCCCCGGGAAGGCCCGAAAAGGCCGATATCATCGGTTCGTCATGGGTTTTTGAAGGATTGTGGCATTTGCGTTTTTTCTGCCTTCCGACGGCCCGAGACGGCCCGAGACGGCCCAAGTGCCCCCAAAGATCGCCCAAGAGGCCCAAGACACGGCGGACTGCATACAGGACCACCGCCCGGAAGGTGAGCTTTCGGAGCCTCGGCGGGCGGTGGATAGGGACAGCTTCGGACCCGCGGGGGCCGAAAGGTATCCGTATGCACCGCCCGCTGGGGCACCGGGACGTCGGTTCCCAGGCGGTGGCTGTGGAGAGATGCCCGCCTCGCACCCTCGCGCCCGCCGAGGAGCCGCCCGAGGCCTCGGAGAGAGCAGGCGAAGCTCGTCTCGGAGGGCGCGGGGGCTCCTGCGGGGCCCCGCCGCCTTCGGGGGAGGCTGTGGAGGCCTGCCCCCCTCCGAGGAGAGCAGTCGTCGTGTTGGGAGGAAGAGGCCGGGAGGACGAAGGGCATGAGCAGTAGCACTCGGGTGCTATGCACGATACCTTCGACCGCCGATGGGGGCAACGATACCCTCCTCTCTCACCACCACCTCTGTACTGGATGCTTGCTGATTCCGATTGCTGGGTCTCTGCGCAAAGAAGGGCGGGCAAATCGTGCCCCGCCCCCTCCTGGAAACGGACGACTGAAAAAAACCGAGGAACCAACAAAAAAAAACGAGGACTGAAGACACCGAAAGAACCGAAGACTGAATCCTCGCCTCTCTCGGGTCGGGCGAAAGGGGGGGATAGCAAAGGGGGGGGTTGAGAATCAGCTCGCGTGGCTGCTTCTCCCGGCGCCTCCCGGCGCCGGAGGCGGCCATGTACCGAGGAAGGGGCCCCTCGGTGAGGCCGGAACCAGCCGCATGCAGCAGATTTCGTAACCCCCCCTTTCCCAATTCCCGCCTTTCGCCCCGCCCGATTATTACGGCTGACGTCCCAGAAACTGCGATGCAGCACGATGTGGGACTGAAAGGGCGCAACGGTCACGTTGATTCGCGGTGTCGTCCAGGGATGGCGTTATGGCACGATTCTGGATCGTCAGGTCGCCACAAGCTGTGTTTGGCGTCGTTGGAATCCCAAGAATAATGTTGTGGCACGGGTCAAACGTTTGTCTTCAACCGCAAAACCCCGTCCTCCCAGCCCGACGGCTGTCTTCCCCCGGGGCTCCCCGCCGGGGCCGTGGCTGTCTCCCACGGCGCGAGAGCCCGCGCCTGGGCACCGCAGGCTCGCGCCCGGGGGCCCTCCTAGAAAGGGGGGGCGGAGCGGGCTCCGGCCGAGCGGCCGACCGCGAGGCCTGGCTGCGGCGTCTTGCAGCGGAGGCCCATGCCCATGTCATCCTCAATGTCGACCCTCCCTCTCTCTCTCTCTCACGCCCCCCCCTCTCTCTCTCTCCCCCCTCTCGTCCTCTACGCCCTTCTGAGCCCTCTCGTCATCCTCCGTGTCCTGACGGCGGGGCGAGCCCCTGGATGGCCCCACCGTCCCCTGCGCAAGAGAAGCCTAGCGACGGGTGTTTCTCTGGGCTGCATCGGGGAGGCGGTACAGTGGAGGCCCATGCCAAGAAACCCCCTGCTTGCCTCCAGTGTGCCCTGGGTCTCTTGGGTTTCGATGGTTTTGCCAAGGAGAGCGTGACGCTCCCTCACACAAAAAACAATGGACGTCCTGGGGTCTCAGGGTTGGGTGCCTTGAGGAAGGTTTCTTGTGGTCGGGTCCCTACTGTGAGTTATGTTGCTCCATCGGTACTTAGGGACCACATTCAAGAAATAAGTTCGAGCACCCAGAAGAATATCGAAACGGTGTGTCGAACGAGCATCGCCTCCCAGGGCCCGACGCGCGAAAACCCTCAAGTTTCGGCACTCTCTTGGTGCTCGAAATTCTTCCTGGCGATCAAGGCTAAAGTATGCTCGCGTTGTGAAACAAACCCGACGGCAGGTTCGTGCCGTCTTCGGCCTCAGGGAGCCCTTGCCGGGCCGCAGGACTGTCAAAAATCGGCTCGGTATGAGAAAAACCAGTCCCAAGGAGAAGGGTCCAGACCTTTACAAAACCTGACGTCGCGGGTCTGGGCACAACGAGCCGGAATCGGCGATAAATCGCCGACAGATCGGCGATAGGCCCCGGGTAATGAAGCCGCACGCTCCCCGGCGGGGTGGGCCATCGAGCCCGTCGGCGATCCATGGGCGATCGGGGGTCGCTGCATCCCAACTCTGCTCTCCTGCGGCCGTTCGGGGCGACCTGGGCACCGCCGAATCGCTCTCGGCGAGGCGCGGCCGCTGGAAGACATCCCCAGGCCGGAGAAAGCCGGCGAGAACCGACGGAAGCACGCCCGAAAACTGCGAATCTCGAACCTCTGCATCTCGCTTTGTTGATCGGCGCGAAACGCGGCCGCTGGAAGACATCCCCGAGACCGGAGAAAGCCGACGAGAACCGACGGAGACACGCCAGAAAAAACAGGGAAAGCCTCGAACCTCTCGATCTCGATTTCTCCGACGGAAAAGCGCCCCAAACCATCGAGCCTCGAACCTCCCTAGGTATATATGTATAGATCGATGCAACTCATTGTATACACACACCTACCTACCTACCTACCTACCTACCTACCTACCTACCTATCTGCCTGCCTGCCTGCCTGCCTGCCTGCCTGCCTGCCTACCTACCTACCTACAGGCATACATACATACATACATACATACATACATACATACATACATACATACATACATACATACATACATACATACATACATACGTACATACACAACTCGCTTTTGGAGGGGGCAGGCGGAGCGCGGCAGGGGGCCGGGAGGCGGCCGAGGGGGGTCCGCGGCGCAAGGCCGCGCCCCCCCGCCGGGGCACCCAGCGCGCGCGCGCGAATTCCGCGGCGGCGCTCTCGCTCGGCGGAGGCTGCCAGCACGTCGTCGCCAGTCGTCGTCGCCGTCGTCGTCGTCGTCGTCGTCGTCGTCGCGTCGTCGTCGTTGCCGCCGTCGTCGTCGTCGTCGTCGTCGGCTGGGCGAGCGCCGCGGGCGCGGATCCGTTTTTGACTGCCCCAAGGCCCGAAAGCGGCCCCTGGAGGCCGAAAATTGTCAAAAACCTGTTCGGTTTGGTTACGGCCTACCCCTGCCGCCCATCGAATCGTCTGAATCGTTGATCTGCGAGGCGGGGATTTATACATATCCCCTGCCTGTGGAACCGACGTCCTGGGACCGCAGCGGGCGGTGGACATGGATATACTCGGGGCTCGGGGGGTACGAACACGTCCAGACCCACCGCCTGCCGAGGTCCCCGAAGGTCGATCCCTCAGGCGGCGGCTATGGAGAAGTCTAGTGTGGGGGGAAGCTGGTCCGGAGGGAAACGGGTCCTGGGCCTGGGGGCCTGCCCCCAGAGGGAGAACGAGGAGGAAGAGGAGGAGGAGGAGAGAAGGAGGAGGAGGAGGAGGAGGAGGAGGAGGAGGAGGAGGAGGAGGAGGAGGAGGAGGAGGAGGACTTCATCCTGAGCCGATCTCTGACACGCCCGGGGCCCACGGAGGGCCCACGGAGAGACCGAAGACGGCGAAGCACCTCAGGACCCGCTTCCCTCGGGACCCGCTCCCCCCCCATGGCGACACGCCCACGCATCGGCTTGATCGGCAAGGCAAGGGTTCGGATGCTGCCGCCGATCCCAGGAAGGCCTCACGCGGAGGCGACCACCCCCGCCGAGGCGGCGGGCCGGTCGCGGCAGGCGACGCCGCCAGCGGACTGGAGGAGCTCGTTCTGGGCCGCGAGGATGGCCTGGTAGTCCCGGGAGTCCCTGGAGGAGGGGAAGAGTCCTCCTCCTCCTCCTCCTCCTCCTCCTCCTCCTCCTCCTCCTCCTCCTCCTCCTCCTCCTCCTCTTCCTCCTCTCGCCTCCCTCCTCTCCTCCTCCTCCGCCTCTCCCTCCTCATCCTCCCCTCCTCTCTCTCCTCCTCCTACGCTCCTCCTCTCTCATCCTCCTCCTCATCCTTCTCCTCCTCCTCTCCTCTCCTCCTCATCTTCTACCTCCTCTCCGCCTCCTTCTCCTCCTCCTCCTCCTCCTCCTCCTCCTCCCCCACTCCTCCTCCTCCTCTATCATCCTCCTCCTCCTCTCCTCCTCCTCCTCCTCCTCCCTCCCTCCTCCTATCCCTCCTCCTCCTCCTCATCCCTCCTCCTTCCTCCTCCTCCTCCTCCTCCTCCTCCTCCTCCTCCACAATTACTCAATATGAATACTACTCTCCTCCTTCCCCTGATGACGGGTTGGGAAAGTTCGCCCCCCCCCGCGTACTGTTTTTTTACACACAGGATTACCCGGAGTTGGGTTTTCGCCTGCATTTGTGTCAAAATGCTGCTCTCGCTGAGGCGCGGGCCTCATTTTCGGGCCCCGCTCGTTCCGTATCGTGCTCCCGCTGCAGCGCTGGCCTCATTTCCGCGCTTCCGCTCGTTCCGAATCGTGCTCCCGCTGCAGCGCTGGCCTCATTTCCGCTCTTCCGCTCGTTCCGAATCGTGTTCCCGCTGCAGCGCTGGCGTGCGTCATTTCCCGTGCCATGCCACGGCATGCAATGCAATGCTAGGTTGCGTTCCGCTGCGCGATACCATGCCTTCAGCTGAAGCTGTGATATGCAATGCTTAAGTGCCACGTCGTGCTATGCCATGCTACGCTTTGATCTTCAACGCCATGCTATGCAATGTTATCTTCGGGGCCGCTGTGCGATGCCATGCTTTGCGTTGCAAAGATTTGTGATGCAATTCTTCACTACGCCACGCCACGCCATGCTGTGACATACTACGCTTTGCGGTGCTCTTCTACGCCATGCCATGCCGTGCTCTCCAATGCATCGCGTACCCTTTCGGGATCATTGCCCTGCTCGACATCCGACTGTGCGAGTAGAGAGGGGATCTACGCCATGGTAAGGGATGGGAGGGAGGGGTAGGATGTCAGAGATGACGCGAGCGCACCTAGCTTGTCCTTCTCCTCCTCCTCCTCCTCCTCCTCCTCCTCCTCCTCCTCCTCCTCCTCCTCCTGCCCATTACCGTTACCATCACCATCATCAGCATCATCATCAGCAGCAGCAGCATCAGCATCATCTTCAGCAGCAACATCATCAGCATCAGCATCAACATCACCATCACCATCATCATCATCATCATCATCATCATCATCATCATCATCATCATCATCATCAGCAGCAGCAGCAGCAGCAGCCGCAGCATCATCATCATCTTCATCAGCATCACCATCATCATCAGCAGCAGCGACAGCATTATCATCTGCATCATCGGCAGCATCACGATCGTCATCACCATCACCATTAGCATCACCATTTTCAGCATCATCGTATTCGCCATCACCGTCATCATCAGCATCCTCACCCTCATCCGCATCATCATCCTCATCATATTATTATTCTTCATCCCCATCCTCCTCCACACTCCTCGTCATTATCCACCCTCTTCTTGGTCCACCTCCGCTCCTCCTCCTCCTCCTCCTCCTCCTCCTCCTCCTCCTCCTCCTCCTCCTCCTCCTCATCATCATCATCATCATCATCAGCAGCATCATCATTATCATCACCCTCATCATCGTCATCATCATCAGCAGCATCATCAGCATCATAATCATCATCCACCCTCCTCCCCCACCTCCTCCTCCTCGTCCTCCGTTCCTCCTCCTTCCTCCTCCCTCATCCTCTCCTCTCATCTCCTCATCATATCATCATCATCATCATCAAGCATCATCATCATCATCATCATCATCATCATCATCAGCACCAGCACCAGCATCAGCATCAGCATCAGCATCATCATCATCATCATCATCATCATCATCATCATCATCATCATCATCATCATCATCATCATCATCATCCACCACCCGCGAAGATGGCCTGGTAATCCTGGGAGCACCTGGTGGAGGGAAAGAAACCTGCCGTCCCTGTCGGCGTGTGTGAAAGGCTTTCCGATTGAGTCGTCGTCGTCGTCGTTGCCCCCCATTTAGCGCTTTCCCGTTTGAATCGTCGTCGTCGCCGTCGCCGTCGCCGCCCCCCCCCGGCCCTGGGCCTGGGAGCCCCTGGTAAAGGAAAAAACACCAAAAAACAAAAAACAAAAAAGCAAAGCCAGGAAAAGACACCCCCAAGGGGCTCCAAGAAGCCCCCAGTATGGGCCGGTGGAACGAGCGACGCGATTGAATGAGGCGACGCCGTGACCCTTCCAACGGCCCGCCACACCCCTCCTGGGGTCCTCCCCGCGGCCCGCTCATTCGGCCGCGAAGATGACCTGGTAGTTCTGGGAGTCACTGTGGAGGGACAATCAGTCGGGGAGGGCACTTTTACCACTTTGACCACCACAGGAGGCCAAAGCCGCAGGCCTCGGCCCCAGCTCAGCCCAGCGGGCTAGGGTTCAACCTCCAGACATTACGGTTTACGCCGTACGCGGGTGGTTAACCTCCACACCACCAGGTCAGGCGGGGCCACCGAGCCCTCGCTCGACACCGACGCCACGCACGCGCACCACGGACCCCATGGCGCGGCGTGGTCAACTTCAGCACCACACGGTAACCGACCTTACGGCTCACGCCTTACACGAGCCACGGCTGCTGACGCGAAGCGGCCGCACCTCAGGCCTTTGAGAGGCGGCAGCCCGCGTGGGAGGACCCCGGCGGCCGCCGACCCGCCGCAAGCCGAGGCCGTGGCGGTCAGCGGCACCGCCGCCGCGCCACCAGGCCGAGCCGCTGGCCGCTGCGCCGCCAGCCACGGGCGCCACGGGCGCCAGGGCCAGCCCCGCCGCCGCCGCCTCGGAGCCCGAGCGCCGGGGGGGGGCAGCAGCAGCCGAGGTGACCACGACCCCTGGGCCGCCGCGCGGCGCCCTCCGCTGAGGAGGGGCGCCGTCGGCCCGAGCGTCCTTCAGCGGGTCGTCGGAGTCGATCGAACCACGTCGTCGGCGGGGTCGGCAGCTGCCGCGGCCACCCGCACCAGCGCGAGGCCCGCGCCAGCAGCCCCCGGGCCCGCGCGCCCCCGCGGCCGCGGCGGCGGCAGGCGCGCCGCCGGCCGCACGCCGCGCCGCGCTGGCGCTGGCGGCGACGCCGGCGCTTCGCGGCGCGAGCCGCGGCGGCCACCGCGCCCCCGCCCTCCAAGCGCCACCGTCGGACGTACAGTCGAGGCGTTGACCTAAGGAGCCCTGAATAAGGAACGAGGCCCCTTCTTTCCATAAGTTAACCTTCGATCTCCTGTCGAAAACATGGGGAAAACCTGAGGCAAGCTGCGAAACACTGAAAGAACGCGGAGCCCCTCCCCAACGAGAAGGGTTCCTTCTTCAGGGCCCCGACTGTATCGGCCTGCTTGAGCAGCGCGGCCGGGACGGCGGACCGAGCCGCCGCCGCCACAGGGCACCTCGGCGCGCCTCAGCGAGAGCTGCCCCACGAAGGCGCAGCCTCCACGAGGGCGGCCGCGGCGCTCGGAGGCTCGCGGGCCCCTCCAGGCAGGCCGCGCCATGCCGCCAGGGCGAGGGCGGAGGGGGGCGACGTGCGGCCGTGCGAGCGTGTGAGCCGGGGAGGGCATCGGAGAGGGAACCCCGGGAGAAGGAATCCATGGTCTGGAAGCCGGTGGAACTCCTATTTCGGCGGTGGACAAACCTCCCTCTAGTAAACCTCCCCTTAGTGAAAAGGGCCTGGGACCGAAACCGACGGACCTGGACCCGCAAAAATGAAGGCCGCGACGCCCTCTCGCGAACCGAAGACGGCCAATTCCTGAATCGACGTGTCATGGTAGGAGGTTTATCCACCTCCGATTATTGAGGCTTGGCCATGGATACCACGGCCGCCCTGATCAGAGAAGGAATCCCCCACGTTCTGAAGCCTCCTGGGCACAGCCCCTGGTGAAGGAAAAGAATCAAGACGAAGCCAGGGCGAGACACCCCCAAGAGGACCCTAGAGGCCCCCAAGAGGCTCCAAAATGCCGCCACGAAGCCCCCGAGGGGGCCTCCCGAAAGACCCCAACAACACAAAGCCCCTTGTCCACGACCCAGTCTGGCCGAAGGCCACTGCACAATACATACAAGATGGGCCTGCTGAGTGAGATACGCGATGGAATTCGGTGTGCCCTCTGCGGACCTTCGCCGTGGTACAACATCATCAAAGGGTAGATGATGAGATGGGAGGATGATGGAGGAGAGGGAGAAGCATGCCGAAGGCATGCTACGAGGGGTTTCGCGCATCCCGCCGGTCCGAAGAAGCCCTAAGAGAGCAGCGGCACCATAATTATCCTCTTTGGCACGTGAAAATACAAGCGACATGCGCTCTCAGGCTCGTGAGAAAAACACGAGGTAGACGTGCTCTGATGGCCCCAGATGGCCGTTTCGCTCGGGACATCCTAAGCAAATCGGTGTCGGAAAGACTCTGAATCTCAAAAATTGCCGTTTCACTCGGGACATCCTCGACAACTCGGCTTCGGCGAGGACTCTGAATTTCAAAAGTGGCAGCTTCGCTAGGGACATCCTCGACAAATAAGCCTCGGAGGGGACTCCGAGTCTCAGTAATGACAAGTTCGCTCGAGACATCCTCGACAATCTGCCTCGGAAGGCGCTTTGAGCCTTGACGCCCAACGGGACGCCAACACAGCCCCAACGAGGAGCACCGACCCTCGTCGAGGCAACACCCCTGGCACCCACTGGTTGCAAGACCTGCGTGTGCAAGCTTCCCCCTGCTGGGCCCGCCGTGCTTCTCCCGCTCTGCGGCGCTCGCTTCGGCGGGCCCCCATGCGGGCCCTCGCAGCAGAAGGCCTGGATGTTGGACAAGGGTGAGGCTGCATACGGACTAACCCCATGCCCCCGACAATAAACCCTAGGGGATAATAAAGTTCGGGGTTTTCGGGGGGATAATAAAAGTTGCCCGCCAGAGCCAGCATAAAGAGATATCAAGCTGCCAGAGAGAGAAGGAAATCCAAAGAACATGCAAATCTATATATATATATATATGTATAAGGAAAAGAAGAAGAGCAGGGGGAGCAGGAGGAGGAGAGAAGAGAGAGGACTACTTACCAGAAAAAGAGGCCCAGGGACACACAAGTAAATGCACACAACTCCAAAGGATTCCCCGTATGTTTCTACATTCTTTGGATTTCCGTCTCCCCCCCCAACTTCCCATAGTTTCCCAGATTTTCCTGGGAGTCGACGATTACTTGTGTCTGTGCGTTTTTCCCCCTCCTGATACCAGACCACCCCAACCCAACCCGAAAGACCCGCATTTCGGGTTGGGTGGGCGTTCGGGCTTCGTAGATGTGGTTTGTCCATGTTCCCCGGACCCCCCCCCGCTGGGAATGGAGGGCAAATTGGGGCCTTCGGGTTGTGTCCTCCTCCTCCCCCCCCTCTCTCCTCCTCCTCCTCCTCCCTCCTTCCTCTCCTTCCTCCTCCTCCTTTGTCCCCTCCTCCTCCTCCTTCTCTCCTCCTCCTTCCTCCCTATCCTCCTCCTCCTCCTCCTCCTCCTCCTCCTCCTCCTCCTCCTCCTCCTTGCTCGACCTCCTCCCCCTCCATACATGCACGCGGAGATCGGCCTCGCGCATTCCGGCGGCCGCCTCGCGCACTCCGCCGGCGGGTGCTCTCGTGATTCTCTCGGGGGGGGCGCGCAGAAATCGCCCCGAGCGACACGTGCGCCCAGCGCCAGGCCCCCGCGCGCGCGGCGGCTCCCGGGGCACGCAGGAACACGGGTGAGATGCGCCCGTCGGGGCTGCGAAGGCCTCGCTTCGTCCTCGCGACCCGTGATCCTCGAACCCTTGCTTTTCGATCCTCCTCGATCCTCGAATCCTCGATCCTCGATGCCCCCATATGGGGGCTCCACCCAAGAGCCAACTTGTGCCGCCAGTGTGCCCCCGCGGCCACCCATTTCGGCACACCCTCGCACACGTGTCCTCTCTGACCATCTTCTGGGGCGCGCCCAGAGGCAAGTGGGCAGCGCCCTCCTGGCTACGAGACTGCCACTTCGGCACACCCCTCGCGCATTTCCTGCTCCACGCTCGGCTGGAACATGTGAAAATATGAATAATCTGCGCTCCGAGGCCGTTCGACCCCCCACAGGACGTCAACATGGCACCAAGAAACATTGCAATGAGTGGTACCGAACCTCGTCGAGGCAGCATCCCTAACACCCACTGATTGCAAAATCTGAATGCAAGTTTCCCCCTAGGCGCCCGCCATGTGTCTCCCGCTCTACAGGCTCAATAAAACGAAACCAGGACAGCGACAATATCGGACAGGGATACATTGGGGATGTCTGAGATCTGGCGATTCTGGAGGATATATCGGGCGCCGCGGAACGCTCTGGAACGTTTCATCCCTGTCCCAGCCTCGCCCGAGACGTCCTAGGGGAGCGCTGGGAGGGAACCTTCGGGGGTGACCGGACCAGAGGGGAACATCCACCTGGAATGGGCGATACATCGCCGATGGGTTGGCGACAAGCCTCGACAGCGAATCCGCACGCTCCTGGGCGGGCTGGGTTAACGGACCCCCATCGGCGATGCGTGGGCGATTGGCAGTCCTCGTCCTCCTCCGTTCCTCCTCCTAATAGGTCGCTCCTCCCTGTCGCACCCCGAGGCCAGTTTGTAGGGCGGGCCGGGCGGTTCGCCAGAGACCCCCTCACCACTTATGACTCTGAGGCTTACAAAGCGACAACAGCTTCAGAGATGGGGGGGGCGACCGGTTTTCAAAACGTGGCTCTCGCCGGAGCGCCGCGCACACTCGTTTTCAACATTTGCAGGAGCTTCACGGATTGAGGGCGGGTGGGATTCAAAATGTGGCTCTCGCCTTCGCGCCGCGCACATTCGCTTTCAAAAGTTGCGAGTGCTTCACGGATTGACGGCGGGTCGTCTCCAAAATGTGGCTCTCGCCACAGCGCCGCGCACACTCGCTGTGAAAAGTTGCAAGAGCTTCACGGATTGAGGGCGGGTCGTCTCCAAAATGTGGCTCTCGCCACAGCGCCGCGCACATTCGTCTTCAACATCTGCAAGAGCTTCACGGATTGAGGGCGGGTCGTCTCCAAAATGTGGCTCTCGCCACAGCGCCGCGCACACTCGCTGTCAAAAGTTGCAAGAGCTTCACGGATTGATTGAGGGCGGGTCGTCTCCAAAATGTGGCTCTCGCCACAGCGCCGCGCACACTCGCTGTCAAAAGTTGCAAGAGCTTCACGGATTGAGGGCGAGTCGTCTCCAAAATGTGGCTCTCGCCACAGCGCCGCGCACATTCGTCTTCAACATCTGCAAGAGCTTCACGGATTGAGGGCGGGTCGTCTCCAAAATGTGGCTCTCGCCACAGCGCCGCGCACATTCGCTTTCAACATCTGCAAGAGCTTCACGGATTGAGGGCGGGTCGTCTCCAAAATGTGGCTCTCGCCACAGCGCCGCGCACACTCGCTGTCAAAAGTTGCAAGAGCTTCACGGATTGAGGGCGGGTGGGGTTCAAAATGTGACTCTCGCCAAAGCGCCGCGCACACTCGCTTTGAAAGTTTGCAGAAGTTTCACGGATTGAGGGTGGGTCGTTTTCAAAATGTGGCTCTCGCCTTAGCGCCGCGCACATTCGTTTTCAACATGTGCAAGAGATTGAAGACGGTCCTTTTCAACATGTGGCTCTCGCCACAGCGCCGCGCACATTCGTTGTAAAAAATGGAAAGGTTTTACGGGTTCCCATGATCGACGTACCAGAAATTGCGTTCTGGAAGGATTCAGGATTATGCGGGTGCAACAATTATATTGGTTCGAGGTGTTGAGATCCAAAAAGTTGGCGTTACCGCACAGTTCCGGATCGTCAAAAGGGTTGATACGTGGCGTTAAAATCCCGAGAGATGAACCGTTGTAGGGTCCTATGAAGAGGGAGCTTGGAGGGAGGGTTGATTCCGACGTCGTTGATGACCCTTGGGTTTACACTGGTCCTCCTCCTGCTTCTCCTCCTCCTCCTCCTCCTCCTCCTCCTCCTCCTCCTCCTCCTCCTCCTCCTCCATTCCTTTTCCTTATACATAACTTCTCCCTGTCGCACCCCGAACACTGTTTTTTGGGCGGGCTGGGCGTTTCGCCTGAGACTTCCTCACCACGTATGACTCAAAAGCCTAAAACTTGCCAGCAGTTTCACAGATGGAGAGCGGGTCGTTCTAAAAATGTGGCTCTCGCAATAACGATGCGCACATTCGCTTTCAAAATTTGCAAGTGCTTCACGGATTGAGGGCGGGTCGTTTTCAAAATGTGACTCTCGCCACAGCGCCGCGCACACTCGCTTTGAAAATTTGCAAGAGTTTCACGGATTGAGGGCGGGTCGTTTCCAAAATGTGGCTCTCGCCACAGCGCCGCGCACATTCGTTTTCAACATGTGCAAGAGCTTCACGGATTGAGGGCGGGTGGGATTCAAAATGTGACTCTCGCCAAAGCGCCGCGCACACTCGCTTTGAAAATTTGCAGAAGATTTGCAGATTGAGGGCGGGTCGTTTTCAAAATGTGGCTCTCGCCACAGCGCCGCGCACATTCGCTTTCAAAAGTTGCAAGAGCTTCACGGATTGAGGGCGGGTCGATTTCAAAATGTGGCTCTCGCCTTAGCGCCTCGCACATTCGCTTTCAAACTTTGTAAGAGTTTCACGGATTCCCATCATCAACGTACCAGAAATAATGTTTTGAAAAAATTCTGGATATCGCAGGCGCAACAATTACGGTGATTCGCTGTGTTGAAGTCCCAGGAATGGCGTTCTAGCAGGATTCAGGCTCGTCAACACGCAATACTCAAGTTGATCGGTGGCGTTGGAATCCAAAGAAGAATTCTTTGGCATGCTTCATGGTCTTCAAACGGTTGTCTTCCAACGAGGCAGTTCCCTCAATGGAAATGAACCAGTGTAGGGGCCTATGAAGAGGGAGCTTGGAGGGTGGGTTTATTCCAACATCGTTGATGACTCCTGGGTTTATTACACTGGTCCTCCTCCTCATCCTTCTCCTCCCTCCCCCTTCCTCCCTCCTCCCTCGATGTATCGCCCCCTGAGCCACCCCCCCTTAATGCTGCCCCTGATCGGTCCTCCTCGATCCTCGATCCCCAGAGGGAGAGAAAACGAGGACCCTGAACAAGACTGAGCGCGGAAGCGTCGGTGTCGATCTTGGTCTCCGTCCAGCTGGGTCACCGTCACTTCGTAGGTCGTCCTCGCGAGTCGGCAATTGGGCCAGCATGGACCATGACCAAGATCGGCGTCGACGAGATACCGCGCCATCTTGGCCACGGTGAGCGTGCTTCTCGCTGCGACCTGGAGCCGCAGAGGTCCAGGGCCGTCGTGAAGTGCAGCAGCGCCTGGCGGGCGTCACCCAGCCTCTGGCATGAAGGAGCCGGGTCAGGAGGGCAACGGACAGGGCTCGAGCTGAACGATGCTTTGTCGTTTTCGTTGTGTCTTCGCTGCCCCTCCTGTGGGCTTCGTTCCGCATGGCTCCGCAACACGCATTCAGAACGAAAACGGTCCACGACGTCGCCGACACGCTGTTCAGCTCGAGCCCTGGACACGGGTCCTGGACCCCGGGGGCCTTCCCCTGGCATCAGTTCCGCATCCCGAGTCGGTTTCGGATGGCCCCGAGGCCCGTGGAGGGCCCCGAGGGCCCGAAGATGGCGAAAGACCTCAGGACCCCGCTTCCCTCCGGACCCGTTTCTCCCATGGCCCAGCCTGCCGTGGACCTGGCCCAGCTGCAGGTGCACCGCCGGCTCCTTCGGCGCGACGCGGTGTACGCGGGTGAGCTCCTCGATGGTGATGATGCTGATGATGCTGATGCTGATGCTCACGATGGTGGTGGTGGGTGATGATGGTGGTGATGCTGATGATTCGCATACGCATAGTGTGATGACTGTGGTGGTGGTCATGATGGTGGTGGTGGTAGTGGTCGTGGTGGTGGTGATGATGATGACGATGACGACGACGATGATGATAACGATGATGATGGTGGTAGTGGTGATGATGACCGCGGTGGTGGTGATGATGATGATAATAATGATGATAATGATGAGGATGATTGACGTGACGATGATCATGCTGATGATGATGGTGACGACGACAACGACAACGACGCCGACGACGACGATATGACGACGACGACGAGAATGATGATGATGGTGATGATGATGATGTCGGTGGTGGTTATCATCATGATTGTGATGATGATTATGATGATGATGACGATGATGCTGATGATAGTGATGATGGTGATAATGGTGGTGGTGGTGGCGATGAAGATGACGATGAAAGTGACGACGACGACGACGCCAACGACGCCGACGGGAAAGACGACGTGACGACGACGACGACGACGACGATGATAATGATGATGATGATGATGATGATGATGATGATGATGATGATGATGATGGTAGTGATGATGATGGCGGTGAGGGTGGTGATCATGATAGTGGTGATGATGCTGATGATGATGATGGTGATTGTGATGATGATGGTGGTGGTGATGATGATGACGATGATGGTGACGACGATGACGACGACAAATACGACGACGGCTACGACGATATAACGACGACGACGACCACGACCACGACCACGATGATGATGATGATGATGGTGGCGATCATGATGATGATGGTGGTGACGATGATGGTGGTGGTGATGATGATGATTGTGATGATAGTGATGATGGTGACGATAATGGAGATGACGGTGATTATGCGTGATAATAATGGTAATGATAACGATGGTGGTGATGATGGTGGTGATGGTGATGATGGTGATGATGATGGTGACGACGACGACGACGACGACGACTGCGACGACAATATGACGACGACGACGACAACGAAGGCGACGACGATGACAACGATGATGATCATGATAGTGACAATGACGATGATGGTGGTGATGCTGATGGTGATGATGGTGGTGGTGAGGCTGCTGATGATTGTGGTGATGATGGTGATGGTGATCGCGGTGATGATCATGGTGGTGGTGATGACGATGATGGTGGCGACGACGACGACGATATAACCACGACGGCAACGACGATACGATGACGACGACGACGAAGACGATGACGACGACAACGATGATGATGATGCAGGTGATGATGGTGATGATGGTGATGATGGTGCTGATGATGATGGCGGTGGTGATGATGATGATTGAGGTGATGATGATGATGGTGATGATGATGATGATGTTGATGATGATGATGACGATGATGATGGTGATGACGGTGATGACCCCGCTCTCCCAAGGGTGGGCAGCCGCCGACGCGCGGCGCTCCCCGCCCACAGCTTCATTGCAACGACTCGCCTGCAGCAGCAGCAGCAGCAGCAGCAGCAGCAGCGGCCGTCGGGGACCGCGCCGGGAGCCTCCAGCGACGCCCTGGAGGAGGAGGAGGAGGAGGAGGAGGAGGAGGAGGAGGAGGAGGAGGAGGAGGAGGAGGAGGAGGAGGAGGAGGCCGCCCAGGGGCTCACAATCACAAACCTGGGTTCTGTGATCGTGGAGGCTGGCGGGCCTCCAGGCGGCCCCCGGGCTGCCACCAGGGCGCCCCTACCCGCTGGAGACCTCGACCGATCTCTGCGTGGCAGGGAGGAGGAAGGGCCGAGCTCTGCCTGCGACCCCCTTTATGGTTGGGCGCAGGCCACGCCGCACTCGCTTCGAGCCATCCTTGTGGCGCTGCGAGGCAGGACGCTCGGGGCAGGCCTCGATCAGCTTGATCATACGGACAGATGACGTGAAACATCCGCACACTATGAAGAGAGCCGTACACCTAGCAACCCTAGCACGGTACATGCGGTGCGACTCGTGAAATTGCGCGTTCCACCAGGGGGGGCAACTCCTCACCGACACAAGCCCTGGACACTCTTGGTTGCCCCCTCTGGAAGTGCTGAGCCATGGGGTTCCTCGGGGGGGTCGGGGGCCTGGGCTCTGCTGCTGCTGCGGGCTCCCGACCGCTCCTGCTGATGCCGCCGCGAGCCTCCGCCCACTCCCCGCTGCTGCCGCAGCTGCGACGCTGAGGCCTGCTGCCACTGCGAACGCCTGCCTTGGGCTGCCGTCGCACCCCTCCCCACCTGAGGCGAGAGGCGGGGGAGGGCGGGAAAAAACGGGGAGAGGGGCCCCCCGACGCAGGCAGGTGGCGCAACACCAACCATCGACGTTCGACGGCAGGCGGAAGGAAGAGCCGTGTTTGAGGCAGGGCCGAGCCGACCCGCACAATTCGCACGGCGCGCGGGCTCTCTGGGCACAGCCCTCGAACGTGCATCGGACCGCGGCCAGGCCAAGTGCCTGGAAGCCGTCCGCGGCTCGCAGCCATGCGCCCCCTTCCTGCGCCGAGAGACCAACCCACCGACCCAGACTCACCCCCCACTCATCAGCAATGGAGGCCGCCTCGACACGGACGGGCAGGATGGGGTGGCATTGCGCCCCTTCCTTGGCACGAGCGTCTACACATCGGTTCCCCGCGCGCTGCCATGCAGCGATGGCACCGCGGTCCACGTCACCCATGGAAGCGTGGCCTTCAACATTGGAGATCGCGATGAATTCGATCCCCATGTCATGGGCCCTGGTCCAGAAGAGCTTCCACACCTCACGGCACGGGCGGTTCCAGTCCGCGCGCCAGTCCCCCCCCGCCACCCAGCCGTCGAGTAGGAACCAGGAGTCGCTGAAGAGGTGGATAGGCGGCAGGGCGTGCGCCAGCGCCTCCGCAGCTGCGAGCAGCTCGCCCACCCCCGCCCCCCGGGGCCAGGGCCAGGGAACAGGGCCGAAGATGCCGGACACCTCTGCGCCCGCGGCGTCGGCGGAGCAGGCCGCCCAGCCAGCGCGCGCGGCGACGTGCTCCTTGCCGCGGAACGCCGATCCGCCCAGGAAGACCACGCCCTCCAGCGGCCGGGCTGAGAGGGACGGGGGCGGCTGCTCCTCGGTTCCTCGACGAGGCAGCGCGACCGCGCGGCGTTCTCGGAGTCCGACTTCCGCGGGCCCCCCGAACGCAGGAAGAGGTCCAGGTTCGGGTCGCCCAGCCGCCACTGTCTGCGCGAGCTTGCCAGCACAAGGCAGACCCACGCCAGGCGTCGCAGCCCAGCTCCGCACACCCCGCCCGGCACTGGGCTGAGCTCGCGAGCAGGTGACTCGGCGGCGGCGCGGCGCCGGACGGGCCGCAGGCAGCCGACGGTGGCGTTCCTGGCCGAGGAACACCTCGCTGTCCACGCCGGGCCGCCCAGCGCCCTGCCCAGCTGTCGCTGCAGGCCGCCCACCGCCGCGCCCGCCGCCAGGTGGCCGATCACGGGGCCTTGGCTCGCGACGTCGCGCCACAGCTTCCTGATGAAAGCGGCCTGCAGTTCCCTCCCGAGCGCACGCTTGTCAACGGCGCCGAGGTCGAGAGGCCGCTCCAAGTCATTAGCCCACCGCCTGACGCGGCCAGCGGCCCAGCCGAGGCGCCCCGCAGCGAGGGTAGTGGCGGCCGCAAGGCCGCGGCCCACAAGGTCCTCCTCGCCGCGGGCCGCAAGCCGCCCGCGCGCTGCCGCGAAGGCCGAGCCCAGGGCCCTTTCGTCCTGGTCGCGGGCCAGCTGAAGCCCCTTGGCCCAGGCTTGGATGGGCTTCGAGACGCGGTCGAAGATGGGGGTCGCCGGAGGGCCTAGTCGAGACTGGGTAGCTGAGGCCCGCGCCCCGCCCCACCCCCGCCCCGAAGGCGACGGCTGCGACGCGGGCCCGCCAGCGGAGCAGCGCCTTGGAGCCCCACGCCACGCAGGCGATGCTATAGGACGTGGCTGGCCTGAGGCCCGAGTTGACCAGCTCGGCGGCCGCCGACGCGGCCGCGCGTCTCACCTGCTGGGCGCGGCCGACCTGGCCCTCGGCTCGAACCGCACGGGCGCGGGGCACGCCGCGGGCCTTGCCACCCATGCCGAAGTCCACGCCCAGGCCCCTGGCCTCCTTGGCGCGCGCGATGGGGCCCTCCTCCATGCAGTGCTCGATGAGGCTGCGGAGCTCGGCGGGGGCGCCGAGGATCTCGCTCGTGCCGCGGGGGGCCACCGCCCCGAGGTCGCGCCCCAGGCCGCGCGCCATGTCGCCCGCGGCGCGGCCCAGCAGGGCGCCGACCTCGGCCCCCGAGCCAGACATACGGAGCAAGCAGTCGTCGAACATGATGGCCAGCGAGACCTCCTTGCACAAGCGGCGGTGCTCTGCGTCGATGGTCGCCACGCAGCGGCGCGGCAGCTTGCCCGCATGCGCACAGCCCGACACGAGGCCGGTCGCCAGGTGGAACTCCTCGGCGACGACGCCGTCGATGACGACCCTCCGCGAGCCCTCGTAGACGCCGAGGGCGGCGGCTGTCAGGGCGAACGGGTAGCCGTGCACCCCCGCCCGCCGCTGGGCCACTGCGAGGGAGACCACCTCACAGGCCTTCCAGAGGTCCAGGAGGACGCCCCCCACGCAGAGCCCGAGGCCATCGGCCGACTCGGTCTGGAGCGACTGCCACCACGCTGCCTCCTCAGACGCCCGCCCCCGGCCGATGCAGAGGTCGACGAGACACTCAAGCCGGGGTCGCCGAGGCCCGCGACGGGCCTCGGATTCAAGCGGTCGGCGCCCACCCCCGCGCGCCAAGCGAAGCTCTTGGCCGCCCGACGGGCTCGCTGCAGCGAAGGCCCGGCCAGCGGCGGCCCCGCCGAACGGCCAGAGGGCGGGCGTGGTCGGGAAGGCGGGGCCCCTGAGGGCCCAGACGCTCCGGGCCTAGAACCTGCCCACGGCGTCGGCCCGAGCCTGGCCCCCCACAGGAGCG